CTGCCTCTGTATAGGGATGACAATATCACAGTTATCATTGGAAAGTATAATATTTATTAAACATGAAGATTATGATCGTATATAAAGTTATGCATATATTTATATGTGCTATTATTCATTTGCATCCAATTAATTAATTTTTTATCTCTCTCTTGGTCACTCAAATATATTTTGCACAGCTAAACTGATTATATACTAAATTTACAGCTTGCCTGTTATGATGAGTTTAACATATCTTGTATTATGACCCAGTTAACTTAAAAAAGGAATCCTGTAAATGAGACATGAGAAAGGGGAAAAGGTGACAAAGGAAGGTTAATTGCTTTCAGTTGGCAATGGGCCATCAGATGTTCTGAGCCATGTAAGAGTAGCAATAGGAACACAATGTAAGGACTTCTTTTTTAAATAATATTAATAATATCCAATGGATTAGAGGAAATGGAAGGAACGGCTTATAGGTCAGCAATTGAAATCTAGTGCTAGGTCTAAATAATTTTCTAATGAAGTGCACAGGTGATTCATACATCTGTGAGGTTATAAACATATCTTTAAAAGGCCTAAAGAGGAAGAACTGCAGAAGACATCAATCTGAAGAAGCAGGTACTAGCATGTGTGAAAACTTCTAACTCAAAACTTGAATGGTGAATGAGGAGAGAGCTACAAAACAGTTTAATTATTTAAGACTTGTTATTTCTCAAAAAAAAGTATAAAATAGCAAAGAGCTCTTTAAAGGTCAGTTTGTTCATAGTTTGACACCTAAAAGAGACCACTGGAGGTGTGAACATAGATGAATTTCCTTAACATGGATGAATTTCCTTAAAGGAAAATAATGAACCACTTTATCTTTGGAACTCCATCTGCATTATTGCATCCATTTGTAGAATTTAACTGCAAGAGAGATGGCTGAAATGCGATTTTTTGGGGGGGAAAGACCAATATAGTTCTCTTGGAACAATTATTGCAAGGTGACATATTATAGTATTATACAAGAAATTATACAAGTGAAGAGATTTTGTAAGTTTCCCATGGGGAAAGAAAGAGAAAAAGAAAAAGAAAAGAAGAAGAACGGAATGTTTTTACCTCAATAGAAGGAATTCTGCATTACATATTATCATTGTCTGCAAGAGAAAAAAATGGAGACTTGCTTGATACTCTCAGAGCAATGATAGACAAAGCTTGATTAAATAACACTTAATTAGTAAAAGGAGATATTGGATAAAAATATGTTTCTGTTTAGAGTAGTGTTGATTAAAGGAATGATGGCCGACAAAAAAGATACATGCAGAGTGGATAGTTTTGTCCCAAAATATCAATTGTGTTGCTGCTGGAAAATTCTCCTGAGCTCAAAGAAAAGCACGTAGTCCAAAGTTTGCATCAAAAACCCAATGGACCCCAAACTCCTGTTTTATGAAAAGCTATAGTTAACTCACCGCAGGTCATCATCTAAAGGTTTTCATTAACTGTTTTTACGCTGTGGAAGATCCGTTTAGGAATCTCCTTGTTAAGGTCTTATCCACACTCAATCTATAATGCTGGAGACTGTTCACATTCTTAACCAGCAATGACTGCATCTCATTAACAAAATAAAGACTAGTGTGCTTAATGTTACTCACCTATATATCAGACCATTCCATAAAGATCCTTCAAGACTGTTAGGTAAATGTCTTTGCTATAGCCCCTGATTTAGAAAAATGTAAATAAAACTGTAATATGTTCAAGATCACCTTGGTCCATGACAGTCAAGTGCTATTATTTCTGCTTGATTCATCACCAGCAATAACAATTTCAGAATCTAAGTGTATCTATTAGAATGCAACTTGGTCTGTTGAGTGCTGACAGTAATAAAACTTGCTTGATTTTTCAGAAAAATATCATCAGTGTCTTGAAAATCCTATAGGGATTTCTGCTCAAAACTGAAGTGTCATTTAGACATTTTTCTCGCTATAACTAGTATTGGGAAAAAGCATCTGTCAAAAATATGACTGTGACTGACCTCTTATCTAAACAGAATACCCCCGCACATGTTGGTGGGCAGAGAATCTGAGGAAAAGTAGCATGTTTTATGCATAAATTCTATATATTTGAGGTGAAGACATACCATAAGTACTAAATCTTAAACATGGGGTTATTTCATACCACAGCTTTAAGTAATTTATAACTAGGTAGTCTTAATCACTTATCTTTAAAAAGTCACTGTTGAATAAAATGCAGTAAGTCCCTGTGTTATAAAATACTCATTTGTTTATTTGTTTTGCCTCTAACAGTGTTTAAAGTACTGGAAGAACTGCAAGAATGTTAAACTTTCTCTGAAGATGCTGGGCACCTAATTTGATTCCAGGTGATGTGATATGGATCTTGGCAAGGTTCAGATCTCCCTAAGGAAGGAAGGATTTGAATGCTGAGGAAGGAATAGTCCTGGGCAGCTTGAAACAAAGGATTACAATTTTCTCCTCTGGATCTTCATGCATCCTTTCTACCTTTAGTAAAATAGAATGTTCAACGGCACAGTGCCATTTGGTCCAGTGCAGAGAATTCACCCCTGGAGGCAGTATACTGCAATTTTTGAGATTTCCTTGCAAAAAAATTCTGGCTTTCTTCTCAGGACCTACCTACTCAAAATACTAATTTAAACCCCCAAAAATCGAAGATGCTTCATAAATATGACATAATAAATTTCACAACTATAGTTGTTAGATTCTTTAAGTATCAATATAGCTTTTTATTTACTTTTTATTGATGACCTCATTTTTCCTCAGATTACATGTTTCCAAGTAGTTTTTTTCATCTCATTTAATAGACAACATAACGTAGGTGAGAAATTGAAGCTTTCATATTATTCATGTATCCATCAGCTCGGTTTAACTTGTTTTCTAGAAAGAACAGATCTGTAAATACACAGGTCTTTCCCAAAGAATTCATAACCTTTTCATAAAATACTAAACAGTTTACTTTTATAGATGTCTAATTTTAAAATTTTCACTCATGTTGATGTTCTGCTTCACGTTTATGAATTTTTTGATCACTCTAATTTCCTGCTAACAGAAAAAAAAAGCCATTCATTTCACATTCTATTAAATCTTTTCCTCAAAGCAGTATCTCTACTTGATACAGTACCGAGATACACTCATGCATGCTCCCTTTTCCTAAATCCTATCGTTTGCCATGGAATCTCATACGAGATGAGAGCAGCTGTAGAAAGGACCATTACGTTGAATTTGCAGTTTCCTTTCCTTTAGCTCACAACTATGACTTTATTGAATAAAATTATAGTTATAATTAAAGAAGTTGAAAAGAGACATTGGTTTGGGCGTGATATAAAGCACCAAAAAAAGAACTACATTTGCTTCCAAATATTAACTAAGCTAAAGGATATAAAGTATTTTCTTTTCATCCCCTGCACAACAGTTGGAAGTAGCTCTAGGGATTGCCCAACCATGCCCTTCAAACAAAATAAACAACCTGAAGAGACCTATTAGTATTCTACTGAGAAAAATAAACTCCTACACAAGATAAAGTGGTATCCTTATTAGTTTGGGTAATGATAATATTTTAGCTGATTAGCAAGGAATATAGAAAGCAAGGAAATGTTTTATTCAGCCCATAGGATGCAGCTAGCCTTCTGGAGAGATCATGTTATTTTCATTAGATCATATTGTCAAGAACATACAACTGAATACAAAATTCCCACCATTCTCAGATTTATTTGATCCTTAGGTGTGATGGTTTAATTTTAACAAGTGTTTCTTTCACAAACAGAAAAAAAAAGATTTTTGCCTTGTGCATAGATACTGACTTTCTCAAAACTATCTAAAATATCTAAAAAATAATATTTTGATTTTTCAATAATTTCAATAATACATTGCTTATTCTTTTAAATGTTCCCCCTTTTTATAGGTAATAATCTATATTTCCCATGTCAACATCTTTTTTGAAATAGTACTCATAGACCAGTAAGGATAAACTGTAAAAGGACCTGAAGGATATATTATAATCAGGATTTCAATTTCTGAATAGTGGTATAAAATGAAGCAGTTTTAATTCACTTTTCATGAATTCTAGTCTAATGCAGTGGAAAAGGACATTTTGCAAAGGGTCAGGGATGCTTGTAAAATATCCCTTGATTTTGTATTGAAGTATAGAAAAACAGTACCTTTTAAAGAACTGTGCATACTTTTGTTAAAACTAATTTTATTAGTAATACATCTCAAGTTGATATATGTATATTTTAAAAGAACTTTGCAGTACACTGTCGTGAAAATTGGGAGTCTTGGCATCAAAACAGTTTTTGATTTTGTTTTATATACCTGTTTCCATATATTCAGACAGGTCCTAGCTCAGTGGAGTCTTAATGCCAGCAATACTACCTGCACAAAGAAGTACAGATAACTAAGGACAAAATTGTCTCTCATTTCTAGATATGATCAGATATAATTTGACCTCAGTCACAGAATGACAGGGGACACACACACAATGCTAAGACTGTATTCACTGCTCATCATCAGCTGATGAATAATAAGATCTTTAGATCAGATGCTTAAACTTCAGGTTGTTTTTTTCTGTCCAAGTAAAAGCAGCATACCCTTTTTAACCCCTGTTTTACTCCATAATCCTATTAAACATTTTTTAGGAGTAATTCATGATAATCTCACAGGATTCCAAGTTGCAGAACTCAGAAAATGTGTGAGGATGTAGTAATTTAATCACAGCAAAACTGCACTTTGATCATACACCTCAGGCAAGTACTGTTTAAATCTCTAGGTCAACATGCACAAAAACACTATATGGCTTCTGTTCTGCTCTCCTATAAATGGAGTTTAACTATTTCTCAGTTCACTGTAAATATGGCCAGTGAATTTCACCATTTTATGTATACGATATAGTGCTTCAAACTTCAAAAAAAATGGGGGTTTTAAAAGATGTAATTATTAGTTTGCTTACCATCCAGGTAAAGTTGTGGAAAAGAGAAGAAAAGAACAATATTATATGAATGACTTCATAAGGAGGGAAGAAAGTTTATTTTCTGTCCTGAAGTATTTTTTAAAACTAACAAGTGAAAGTCTTCCAGCTTTTCATTGCTGTTCGGAACTGTGATCAGGAATCTCACAATATAAAATCATCTGTTTCTTGTATCCTGAATTTCTTTTTTTCATAAACAATGATGCTGATATATGAGTTCTATCACTGACTCATCCAAGGCAGTTTAATATATTGATATTTGCTCAGGTTCATGATTCATGCCTTTTTGTAACAGCAATGGCCGGATTCCTTGAAGTACCTCTATTTGTGGTTGCTCTATATAGTAAAGTAAGACATAAAATAATCCGAAAATAATCTGAAAATTAAAAGTGAGCAAAATCACTCTTCTCATTTCTTAAAAATAAATAATTCAACTGACTTAAATCCTAATAACATACTTTATAACAATAAATATATATTATGTCTGGAATTACTGAGTTTAATGTTGCAATATTTGCCTGGCCTAGCACTCCATTAAGGCATTGTTCATGTGCAAGACTGAGATACTCAAAAACACAGTATTTAACTGAATAAAACATATTCATATCCATTAAGTTGCCTTTTCATATGTGAAAACTAAAAGCACAAATTAACAAAGTTAGCAAACACAAAACACTTCCCGAAGAGATTCCAGCAATGAACTAGCATCTAAGTAACATATTATGTATTTCGATATTAAGCATTGTTTCACAACCAGGTTGCTGAAAGAACTCTTTCAGGTTCAAAGTTAAGGATGTTTATGTAGAACAACAAGCTCTTTGAATGCTTAGGATGAAAAGAAAAAACAACTGACTGTGCAAGAGGCAGAAAAATTACCAGCTACCAGAGTTTGAAGGAGCAAAATCATTCCATGTTGGCTAATTCCTTTTTGAATTATTTTAAATATTGGTATATAAAATGGTCAAGTGTATATATATTTCATATAGTCATAAGGGTTTTTTCTGAAAATAAATTAATGAAGCCGTACCAATAGCAGTATAAATGAGAACACAAAGTGTGTAATGCTCAATCATAATACTTCATAATTGTCAACCATGTTGAACAATGGAATTCTATATACCATTAAATGGAAACCCTATTAAACCCAATAGTAAAATTCCCATTTACTTTAATGGAGCTAAGACTTCACTTTTAGTCATAGCACAAATTCATGTTTATATTCAGAAGAGTTTCTTCTCATGTAGCACAAAGGATGAAATGCTACCAGTATAATCATATTTCCTTTTAAAGATATACATATATATATATACGTATAGTAGCTCAGCATATTCCTGAATGAGATCAGAATCTGGACTTTATGGCTTGAACCATCTCTTCCTCCAAATCTACACAGGGTCCCGGGTCACAAAGTTCTCCTGGGGAATGTCACATATAATGAAGCAATAATTCCCAGAAGCATACTGGTTTGAAGGTTCCAAAGCAATGATAATACAGAAGTCTCCTCTCCTACTCATACATTAGTGGGAAAATATTTACTTGTTAATAATTTTATCTATTTGACTTGTTTCATTCTGGTTTAGATTCATTTCAACAATAGATGTCCACAACTGGAAGCTCTTTCAAAGTTCTCCGTTCTTGAAACTTCAATGGAGTATTTGGTGGGCCTTTGGAGAAGCTGTTCTTGAAGTTGTGTATATAGGGAAGATGACCAATATCTGCATTCACAGTTTTGACAGAAGAGCACAAAACTTGGGGGTAGGCATGGGAGAGGAAAAGAATGCTAATTCTGAAAGATATGAGATGAAATGCTGAGTTCTTCTTTGGGCAACCTTCATTTAGGCATGGGCATGTTATGGTTGCTGGTTATCTTGCTACTGTAGGTAAAGCATGCCACTATATACAAAAATATATATATGAAAGCTATCAGCTTTTTGTTTAGAGAAAGAAAGCTCCTTTATTCCATAAAAAGGATCTCTTCATTCCATAAAAAGAGATCATTGCCTCAGAGGAGGCTAGAATTAAGGCAAAGGCAGACCTGTTTACACAGAGAGTGGCACCACATTTCCCCACTTCTGAATGATAATGAATCATTTTAAAAGAAACCCTGCTCCTGCAATTTCTTCTCTGATATAGGGATTCCACTCAAATCGTCAAGACCCTGTGTCATAATGAGATCTGCTTGCAAGGAATAAGGCCTGAGATAGTTTTATATATGTACATTTATGTCTATATGTATATACACGCACACTTACACACACACATACATATACACTCTCAAACATGCACACACATATATATAGATATATGTGTTCATATGCAAAGAGACAATATTGAAAACTACATCAGACTTTGAGAGTTATCGCTTTGTCAGAATCATTTAAACTACTATCTACACAGTACATATTGAAACTCAACTTTAAGATTTTTTATTTTTATGTACAGTTCATTTTTTTTTGTCTGGAAATAAAATATCTAAATACAGACAGACTGTAATGTTGTATATGTATAGCTGTCAACAATACTTTAGCTGAATAAATGCTTTGTACATAGTTCTGTCTTTTAATGGAGTTTACAGCTACATTGATAAAATGGATTCCTCATTTTCTTGATTGTTTTTAACCAATAACAAGCAGAGAGACAATTACAAGTTAATATTAATAAGCAGCTCAAATAACACTGGTTAAATTATGTACAATACAAACCATTCATACAAATGAAGACTAGGATATTGAATTTGTTACAATATTTGTAATAAAGATAAGACAGCCACTTATAACTTACATGTTCTCTGTCAGGCATTTTCCCCTCTTAGTGTTCAGTTGGAGATTTTTTAAGTAGCTTAGCTGGCCTAAACTCAACCAGGTGTAAAGAATTAGAGCTTAAGAGTCAGAGAAATATGAAACCAGAATGTCTGCCCACATGTAAATTCCAAATGTTTGCCCATCTTTACTAGCAACAGGCTCGCTCCGCGGAAGAAGAGCCACCTAACGCCACCTTGAATGTGCCTACTGTATGCTGGAGAAAGAGTCACTAACGCTTGGTTGTGATCATACAATAAGGAATACTGAATTCTAAACACACATTTTTTTCCCATTTTAACAAGCATTTACTCCTACATTATTATTTACCAGTACAGCTACTCCAAGCAGTGGAATGTATGAGTGGGGATTATTGATTGGCATGTACTCAAGGCTTGCAAAAAGATTTCCATAGCGGTCTGAGTTAGAAACCATTCTCTGTCTAGTTAACCCATTTTGCTTGATGGTAGGTTATCCTGAAACCTTATGTATCAGACAATGAAAGCTCTCTTAGCAGGAATCTCAAGAGAGGTGAGCTGAAAAGAGTGCGCGTGTCTATGTGTGTATATGTGTGGTTTTATTTCAAATCCATAGTGAAATACAACTAGATTGATACATGGAGCTGACTGGGCAAAAATTACATTGGATTGGTATCCACTAACGTATTTGCAGCCATTTGACATCATCATCAGCGGGTAGACACATTCCAGGCAATAGATGTGGCCTTCCTCCTCGAGGTAACAGCCCTGTCTCACGGCCTCTTTGATTCCCCAGGCTTCAGTCTCAGACACAGATGCCTCCTCCTCACCCTGATGGGAAGTACGGTGTGTCGCTGTGGTAGTTGTAATCAGGACACACTTTCTGTACTAGTTTATAATCTGTACTATAAAAGGAAATGTAAATACAGATTACTTTAAAGGGCTTGGAGCAGAGCCACGACACGTGGCTCTGGGTCTGCTCCTGATAACAGGTTTTTGAAGGGTCATAGTTGCAGAGTGTGTTCTTGGTCGCCTTGTCAACCTTTTCGTACTCGATCCGACAGTTAAAGGACTTGGAATCTTTGGCATCAATCACTGTCTGTTGTGCCAAGTCAAATTCCACTATTTTTGTAGGGGGCACTAAGCTCACGGACACATTTCCTTGACCAGTGGAATTATGCCTGAAGTAAACACTAAACGTTCCATTGCCATGGTCAACAATTTTCCCCGTTATCAACAGATTTAGCTTCACAGTCTTGATATTGGAATGAAAATCGCCCCAGCCAAACATTTTCTTAAATTTCCCAGTCTTGACAATGGGCCGTCTCTTTGCTCTGGGCCGAGGCTCTTGCAGGTCTGTGGAGTTCCTCAGCCAGTCCCAGAGGTCTTGTTCAGAATAAGTTTCTGGGGCATCATATCGCAGGTCCAAATCTGTATCATTCTCCTTTCCACGAAAAGTCTGTGACAGCAGTCGGCTGATGGACAAGTCTTTGCTACTTTCTGTCCATATGTGCTTTAGTGTGGATTTGGAGCTTCCTGATTTTAGAAGTTCTGTTTTTCCACCATTCGTTAAATTTGCACAGGTAACCTGAAGGAAAAAGAAGGAAAGAAGAAAGGAAGGAAATATTGAGATATGTAAAATAAAATTCATCATTCTCACCTGAACCAAAATAATCAGAATTCAAAATTAGCAAGAAAAAAAAAAGGAGAAAAAGGAGAAATTTAATTATATTCTCTATACTTAAGTAAAACAAAACCAAAAAGTCTATTTGCCTCTTTTTCCCAGTAGTCATTATCAAGTTCTCCTCTGCCAGTCTTTCACACCAGCCTCCAGAATTAATCCACAACATTCGTTTTATTTTTCAGCCTAAAATCAACTTCTGTCATGATGCCTATAAGAAGTCTTCAAGTCATGAGTATATAAGTACTGCAAAAACAATTTTCAGTTCCCCTCCCCTCCTCCACTCTGTATGCCTCTTTCACTGGCTGTTTCTCATCTCAAACTGACATATGTGTGCTTGAATACTTTGTCTGCACTGTAACTGTGTTTTCCGACATGGGAGTCACATCCATTTACTTTTGCTGCCCCCAGATTTCATTGTCAATGTGCCTACTTGACAGTGCCAGCCTGACGATGCTCAGAGTCCATGTCATTATAAATCTAGTATTATCAGTATAGGTGTATTCCTCACTCCCTTGTTAAGTACACGTTGTCCTGTGTTCTTGATTGGGGCTTTTGGTCACATCTGCAAGAGGGGTCTCAATCTCTTATGTTCCCTTAACACAATGGCCATGGATTTGCTTTGTCTGTATTCAGTACAACATCCATTTCTCCTTCCTCACTTATTTCTTCACACCTTCCTCTTCAAAACAAAGTGATCTGTGCAAGGCAGACAACCACGTGTGTATTTTCAAGAAAAATAGGGCCACCAAACTAAAAGGTAACCATAAAACTCTTCAAATTGAAAGAAACACAAAGAAACCTTGAACCAAGTTCCTACCAAACCATAAAGTTCAGAGATAGTTTTCCACAGAACTTCAGTTCAGAGCAATTTGTCATATTTGTTTTTTCTCTTTGCCTTAATTGAGTGGAAAACAGAAAACAGATGCAGCCTCACAGCTGTGTAACATGCAGCACTGATACAGTTCTGACAGCACAGCAGGGGACCCTGAAATTGACAGGGGGCAGAGGGTGGATCCACAACACCCTTAGTCCCATTCCCCATAAAAAAATCACATCAGACAGATGCCAATTTTTTTAACAGTTGAACACTAAAGACAACATCAAGTCTCTCGTTTCTCTTTTCATAGCAACATAGCTCATTCTGAATATGCATATTTTATGCCTCTGTGGTCTGAAGCTGAATTACTTGTCCCCACCATAGTTCCGATTTTATGTTTCTCTCCACTTAAAAATGAATCGTGTGTATTTCCAACCCAGGAAACTCACTGGAAACCAGATAGTGTTTAAACTGTGGTCTCTCCCTACTGGTACAACTTGAGATATATGCCACAGTGGATATCTATCACAGCATGGCCTTTTCATTTCCTAACAGTCATGGAATTGAAGCATGCGTTCATTAGCTCCAGTGCTCTCTCAAGGTCAGTTGAAAGCATATACATAAAACCAGTCTACATTGTTTTAACATACTGATCAGATAGGAGGCATGCCCTCAGCCTTTTACAGTAAGCAAACAGGTAAATAAATCTGTCACAGCCCATGCAGTATCTCTCCAGAACATTTCAGGTTGGTGGGCCAGTAAAGGTAATAGATAAAATATGAGTTTTATTTAGGATTTTGCCAAAGGGATAACTTTCACCTCTTTTGAACAGAAGGAAAGGTAATCACAGCCTAGGATTTTGATAGCCAGTTTGTAGCTGCATCTTAGCATCAACACAGTGAGCCAGGAGAGAATCTGCAATGAAACGCACTGGTGGTGCACTGGTTAATGAAGCAGCAATGAAGATGTCACAGGGAGAGAAAAAGACTCAGAATATAATTTTGCAGTAGCATATGGGGAAGAAGCATAAAATATGAAGGGAAATGTAGCTAAAAGGAAAACTGTGTCTGTCTAGCATGAATTTGGCAGCCTGCTATGAATCTAAGCAGTTAACTAGTAGAGTTACTATACCTGCAATCTGTAGGTAGCAAGCAACAATTTGCCTACCACTCTGTTTTGCTTTGCTCACAGCTACATTTTCCTTTGCTTTCCTTTCTGCATCCAATGATTTCCATTTCATAACATTACATGAAAAATTCCCATGTAACAAGATATAACAGTATAAATGCCATTTAAAGAGAAGGTCTCTCTATTTTTAGCTTTTAGCTGCATTAAACTAGTTATTTTCTATAGGTATTTTCTGAAATACTTGCTGACTGATCCAGTGTGTTTGTTTTTAACAGCAGTGTATCTCATGCAAATGGAAAATTCATATTCCATGCATGCTATATTGTTTCACATCTGACCTAACAAATGCAATTTGATTGTTACTGTCGTTCATTTTGCAATACCTGAAAGGCTTCTGGTCACGCAGTTAGCCCTGAGACCTCTGTTTGTGATTTTCAGTGTGGATAACTGGCTGCATTCTTGATTAAAGGCCTGAATTTCCAATTCCTGGTAAAATGTCTTTGTAATGACTAAAAAAAAACGGCCTGCAAGGGTTAATAAAAAA